TTTTTATTTTTCTACATTGCTAACAAAGATAACAATTTGTTTTATTCTCTATTTTTTGTATATTATTGACATAGAAAATCTTAGTTTTTATTTTGTATTTTTCTATATCGATAATATAGAACAATAAGAATTAAAACTAACTGATTTTTATATTATCAATTAAAAACAATAAGAATTCAAAAATAAGATTTTCTATATTATCGTTATAGAGATATCAAAAATTAAAATTGAGATTTTGTATATTATCAATATAAAAAATCAAAAGTAATAAATAAAATTTTCTAAACTGCCAATTTAGAAAAACAAGAAATGAGAATTAAGATTCTTGTATTATTGATATAGAAAATAAAAGCAATAAAACTAACTGTTATGTATATTACCAACATAGAAAAATTAAAATTAAAACTAATTGTTATTTATATTATCAATATAGAAAAATGAAAAATAATGAATAGGATTTTATATAATATCAAATATAGAGCAAATGTTGACTGTACTTGTTCTAAAATAAGACTGAAGTTTATGTGCAAAAAAACGAAACAAGGTAGCCGGTCAGACTGATCATTTCCATGTGTATAAGAAATATTTGAGAAGTTTGAATTAATTGAAATAAATCTATAGTATTAATAAGCATTTCATATAGCTCTATGCCATCATCTATAAGTAGAAAATAAAATTATCTACTCGAATTTTATGTCTCATAATCTCTTTGATTTAGAAAGCAGAAAGTATTGTTTTGTTTCTGACTCTCATCTTCGAGTTATTTGACACATAATTAAAGGTCTCATACCGTTTTACATGTATTTGTTTTTTTGTCGATGGAAGAAAAGAAATAATACTAAAAGGTACTTTCTTCCAATTGCACTGAGACATTAAACATATTAAAAATACATGACATTACATGTAATAAAAATTAAAATTGATTAAATAGTATTAAATTTAACCAAGATTTCAATTATAGCTAGATTCTTCATAGATAAATTACAAAAGGATGAAATTATTTAAATTATTTTTAGGGAGTTTATAAAACTGCATGACATTTTTTATTAACTTCATCGGTTCCGTAACTGACCATGCAAGATATAATCATAGAAGTATTGTTTCTAGTTTAAAGCTCAAATCAATATCAATATCAACCTTTAGAAAATTCTAGACAAACAAAAAAAACTTTCTTCTAAGATTTAACCAGTGCAGAATGCGATACAATAAAAATTTGAAGAAGAAATCTTCACACTTATTGCTATTGAGAATAGCTAAAATCATGATGAAATCTTTTACGATCATTGCTTTTTTGTGAGAATCCTCAAAAATTTATACCTATCGAATAACCTACAAAACATAAGCTTGCAAACATTTTAGATCAAGATTTTCATAGGAGATTCGTATTGTCTTGTAAAGAAGCGAAAATATTTAATTGTAGAAAGATCGAAATCGATCCGTGATCGAAACTGCTATTGTTTAAAAAAACATGTTCCATACACCCATACCCTATTAAGTCGAAAATTTGTAATACATTAGAAATGAATTCAGAATAAAAGATTTGATTGATTCGTATATAGATTATTGTTTGTGCTACAATGCAGAATAATGAACATGATAGATTCTTCAAATATTCTTGAACTTGGGAAAGATTTGTTTTTGAGTTCTTCTTATCTACTAAAATTCGAACTTACGTATTATTTTATCTAAACCTATCTTATTTAGCACTTCGATTAGCCTTTCTACAAACTACTTGTTTGTTTGAGATTCAGAAATAAATTACTCAATAATAAATATGATGCAAAATTCATGGCATAAAATACTTTCGAATGATGTATGATTTATATTTGTCAAACATTCGTAAATGGAAAAAGAAAGAAAAATACTTACTCAAAACATTTGTAATTTTTTTATATGAATCAGTCTAAAACGTCTTATGCATGGTAGCTAAGTATAATTAACTATCGATATTATCTAGCAAGATGTTTTTAACGAATTCATATAAAAGTTGCAAATTTATTTTGTCTCATTTCACTCAGAAATGTGTGACGAACATAAATCATACACCGTTTCCTATCAACTGATAACAAAATTGTTTTTCCTTACGTTCAAATTCTATTATAACTCATTTTATTGTAAAATCCAAACAAAAAAAAATGAAATAATTTTTAAATATATTTCAAACTCGAACTAACGAAATCAGTGAATATGTTGAAAAAATTCGATATAAAAGAAAATTTCATTTACGATAAAATTCGAGTTAATCACAATTTTTCACATTATCAGTTAAATTTTAGTTAGTTTTAGTCAAACTAAGGATTCTTACACAAAATATTTCAGAAAAATCAACAATGTTTTGTTTTCAACATTGAGAAAATCAGATTCTAATCAAGTTCATAAGTAAAAACCTTTGTAATTGAAAGCAGTTCAATACTGTTTAAAACAAATGAGAATGAGTCATTTTAATGAAATCGATATTTATTTTTACTTCATACTTTTGTTTCTTTTCAGTACCAATGCGTGCAAGTTCCATTGATATTCATCCGAATGCAAAATGGGCACAGAATGGAATCACTGTTGCTGGAGGAAATGGACGAGGCAGTGAAACCAATCAACTCGCCGACCCATGGAGTTTGTACGTCGACGATGATCAAACGATTTATGTCGCTGATCGGAGAAATCATCGTATTGTGGAACGGAAATCTGGTGCAACGAATGGAAAAGTAGTTGCTGGTGGAAATGGACAAGGAAATGGAGCTCATCAGTTAAACTGTCCATATGATGTGATTATCGACAAAGAGACCGATAGTCTCATCATCAGCGATTGTGGGAATAGAAGAGTAGTTCGATGGCCTCGTCGAAATGCTACTCAAGGAGAAACAATTATATCAAATATCGCTTGCGTCGGTTTGACAATGGACGACAATGGTTATCTCTATGTCGTTGACTATGAAAAACATGAAGTGAGACGATATAAAATTGGTGACACTAAAGGAACAGTAGTTGCAGGTGGCAATGGACAAGCAAATCGTCTCGATCAACTCTCTTATCCCCAATACGTATTTGTCGATCGAGATCATTCAGTTTATGTGTCTGATTATGAAAATCATCGTGTAATGAAATGGGAAGAAGGTGCAAAACAAGGCATTGTCGTAGCCGGTGGTCAAGGAGAAGGAAATAGTCTTACACAATTAAATAATCCTCAAGGCGTCGTTGTCGATCAATTGGGTACTGTCTATGTGGCTGATTCTTGGAATCATCGAATCATGCGTTGGCCAAAAGGAGCCACACAAGGAAGTGTCGTTATTGGTGGAAATGGTCTAGGAGCGCAGTCGAATCAACTCTCTGTTCCCATTGGTTTATCATTTGATGGACATGGTAATCTCTATGTCGCCGACTGCTGGAATGCTCGAGTACAAAAATTTAATATCGCATGAACTCAATACGATGATTAAATTTTTTTTTGTTCTCTTTCTGTTTCAAATAAATCGTGATTGAATGAAAAAATGAATTCATAGCTATTCTATTCTCTTCGCGCGCGCGGCCAGAAACCATCCTGGTGGAGCCGTGGCGAGCGTAAAGCTCATGCACGCGCGGGAAGACCCACATCATTCACATACATCCAACCGATGTCATATGTCAGTGAGTCTGGGGCCCGATCGTGTGCCACGAACACCATAACAGTTGCTGGCCGAGCTTTTAGGGACTACCCGGAAGTCCTTCTTATAAAGTGTAACCCTCACCTCAACGTACCTCACTCACCCTAACTATTCTCATCTCAACAAAGAGAAGAAAAAGAAAAAAAAATTAACTCACCCGTTGATGTTGAATGATGACGTCTTTAACAGGAAGAGAAAAACATGAATATAAAAGATCACAAGAGGACTTACCACTAGAGCCCGTCGGGTCCAGAATTTTTGGACCCGGACCCGGACCCGGACCCTGGCCCAGGATTTTGGACCCGGACCCGATCATTTAAAATTTTTCTACCCGGATCCGGACCCGGACCCGTTTACAGGTTGCTGGGCCCGGACCCGGACCCGGTCGCTTAAATTTTTTGGATCCAAACACAATGACAAGTCAGTTTAGATAGTATAGTCAAGAAGGGTTTTGTTGTTTTTTATCTATTTTCTAAATACATTTGGTCTCTTCTTTGTATAAAACGCACAAAACTTTAAAAAAATTCAAAATAAATTGTATGGATCAAAGTTTTCTTCAGACCGGGATCCGGTTAAAGCAAAATTTTCAGACCCGGACCCGGACCCGGTCAAAATAAAATTTTTGGACCCGGACCCGGACCCGGACCCGTGCGGGTCCGGGTAGGGTCCGGGTCCGGGTCCTACCCGACGGGCTCTA